TGAGCTTACGGATGAAAAATGGGAGAAGGGTCGCGAACACACTGTTTTGAACTAAAATATTTTTGCTGGAAAAATGGCCTACGCGATCGCGATACTGTGGATGCGATCGCGTTTGAGGAACGAGCTGGGCACCGCGATCGCGACTGGGATCACGCGATCGCGAAGAAGGAAATTCAAGGGGAGGTCTGGTTGACTTACGCGAACGCATGAAAGGTAATGCGATTGCGTTGAAGAGGAAGAAGGCAGCTATGCGATCGCGGGAAGAAGAATGCGATCGCGATGGAGAGAAACAGCCAACACCGCGATCGCGTGAGAAGCAACGCGATCGCGTAGAGGAAATATGTCTGCACTAGAATCTGCTCAGATTTTAACTCAAAAACATCCCGAACCACCCCCGAAAACACTCCCGAGCCCTCGGGGCTCCCAACCAAACACTCACACTGACTTATTAACATCCTACGAACTTGCTCGAGCGATCAAATCGCTAAAATAACATCAAAAACATAGAATTAAACCAAGAAATCCATAAATTTCCAACTTTGACTTCAATTCTAAATTTAGCTTTTAGGGTCCGAAACACGTCAAACGACGTCCGATTTTGACCAAACTTCACAGGTAGCGCTTAAACGCTATATAAGACCTGTACCGGGCGTCGGAATCAAAATACGAGCCCGATACGATATTTAAAAATCAAATATTCATTTTCAATTTCTTAAAACATTTCCAGAAACTATTTTCACAGAAAATTCCGTATCTTGGGCCTGGGACCTCGGAATTCAATTCCGGGCATATGCACGAGTCCCAAATTTTATTTCGGACATTTAGAAATTATGAAATCACGGGTCCGGGCCCGTTTGCCCAAAATGTTGACCGGAGTCAACCATATTAACATTATACTTAAAATTTAGCGTTTTAATCACAGATTTCAATTTATATAATCAAAAATCTTTCCGGCTTCGCGCCCGGACTGCGCACGCAAATCGAGGCAACCCCTCAAGAGGTTTTCAAGGCCTCAGAAGCACGGAACAAGGAGCTTTTACGGTGATGACCCCATTGGGTCGTCACAATAGATTAGACAGAGAAATATAGTTGTATGAAGGCTTGAACTTGATGAAGCTTTTGCGTGCTATTTCTTTCTTTGAACATCCTTCCTCATTATTTTTCTAAGTGAAGGCTTCAAAATAAATAATGTCTCAACAATACACCATATGAATTTAGAGGAAAACAATAACTACTCGAGAGAAGAACAATTGATTAGATCCTTTGGGGAAAAAAACATGAATCAGATATTCAGGAGGAGTTATAAAGAAACGCAAGGATTATTTTCTCAATATTTCGAATGTTGCTATCCGGGCAGTGAGCATCCAATTATTCCTTTCCTTTGAATTGATAACAGCAAGCAACAACCATAAATATGTCTTGCAGAACTTCCTGAATGAACAATTCAAGGAACCATTAGCAGTTAACACTATGGCCAAGCAGTTTTAGGAAGCCCATTTCACTTCGCCCAACATTACCTGCAGTGTACATCAAGCACCGCTAGAAGAAAATATTTTTTTTTTAATTTTAATAATATTTTTAAGCCGTATTTGCTGGAGGAATTGTTTAATTGAATCAAGTACGCTCCACAATAATGAGAAATCTTTTAAAAAGGGACTTTCTTCTCTCTCGCCCTCTGAAGACAAAATATTAAGAGAAAAATCTGATAGCACCAACTGTGTGTGTCCTATCATCTCTTGAAGGATATTGAATTGCATCCCCATTATTTCTTGTGCGAGAACCGAATCTTCTTGTTCCTTGATACTCTCTTTAATTACCTCCAACAACTGTAACACAAAGTCGAGGAAAACAGATATAAGCCCCTAGATAGAAAAAGGAAAAACAAAAACTTAAAAGAGATATTTGAAAATTAAACACCAATCAAAATATAAACATGAAGCTTCAAATCGTGGCTTCTTGTCCTCTGAATGATAACTACAACAATAATGATGCATAATAACCTGCACTTGGTATCAAAAATCTTATGACCGAAAATCTATGAAAACGTGCAAAAAAGAGAAACAAAAAAAATAAAGAGAGAAGGAGAGAACAATTATTATCCTCAAAGTAAAATCATCTTCGTCATTATTAAGAAGTTCATCTCTTAGAGTAGTAGTAGTCGTAGTTTTCTTCTTTTCTTTGAAAGGTAAAAGTCTACCTTTAGAGAAAAGCTCGTCAGCACCAGTAATCATAGAATGATTAGCGACGGAGAATTCAAAGTCAGAAGAAACAGGAGCATCTATGTAATACGATGTTGTATCATTCTTCATCATATGTTGATGATGTTGTTGTTGTTGAGATGAATCGATGAAGTCATTAGAGAAAGAGATTCTAGGACTATTCATTGAAGAAAATAACTTGTGGTGGTCAGCGGAGTTATTTTTGTTGTTGTTGTACATATTTTTGGAACAGAAAGAGATGTGAAAAGTGGAAAAAAACAGTTTTCATAAAGGAGCGGTTTCATCAATTCGTGGGGTTTGAATTGATCTTGCAGGTTAGTTTTTAACGTGTGTGTACCATTATCTAATTGGAAGTTTTTTTTCAGAGGAAGTTATATCCCTCTGTTATAGTTTCATCAGCAACGTGCTTTAATGAAGTTCCAAAAAAACTTCCTGATTTTAGTTAAAAATCTGTATTTACCATTTACAATTTACAATCTTAGTAAAGTAAAATTATATTTCAATATTAGTGTGCTTCCTTAAATTTAGGATAGTTGTAATAAAACGCCACGTGTCTTAATGTAATGCTGCCACTTGGCTTCACCAGGGACTTTTGTCTTTGGCTTTTAATTATATATAGATATAGATATATAAGTTTCTAATTTGACTTTTAATGCATCACTCAGTTCATCTCTTTAATTCTTTTTTTTTTCCCTTTAATTTTGCGCGGATAAGATGTCAATACATTAGTAATATTATAATAGCGACTATGTGCTAGAATGCGTAGGAAGCGTGAAATAATTGTACAATTAGGAATCTGAAGATTACATCCATGATCTTCGGCAGATTTTCTCTATTCATTTCAATATTTGTTTATATATTATTTAAGGAATTAGTTTATAATTACAATCTGAAATTAAGAAATGCTAGATAAGTCAAAAGAATGATTTTGCACTCAAAGTGGCTTTCCATGAGTGCGTCACTCTTTTTTTCTTTAGTAAGTACGTGAAACACAAACAATTTCACTAGTAACATTATATTGTTATGAAAAAATTATTTACACATTTATATAGAGATACCTGAGAGAGTTCACAAACTAGTGTGTACCATTTGATCTGACATAAACTTCTCACTTGATTGTTTATGACATGCTCTTATAATCACAAGTCCTAAATGTACAAAAAGCCCTTTTTCTTATATGCATGAAGGCAAGTACATAATGAGAACTGCGACATATAAATTGCAAATCGCAATTATTTAATGCGATTTATAAAGCGCTTTTTTAAATTCAAAGCTAGTTATAATAGTATAAATGCATTTTCAAAACCAACTTACAAACCGCATTTGCGATTTATGAGCACAACTATAAAAGTAATCATTTTGACCACCACACATCTTCCATATATAAGAACGAGTTGGTTCACATAACCCGTATTCGAAAATATTCTGATAGTTTTTTCCCGGATAGTTTTGACGAATGAGGTTGGATATGGGGAGATGGTTGAAACAGATTAGTAAAACACTAGCTATAGGCTGCAATCAAACTGATGATAGGCTATAATTGTGTATTTTAGTCGCTTATTACACTTTAATTTACTGCACTTTAATTGAGTTTGAGTTTTAATCGCTAGTGTTTTGCACTAAATATGTGTTTTATGCATCGTAGGAGTAATTCCACGCTATGTAGAAATTATGGAATGAATTCAAGTGATTTGGAGCTTTGAAGCCTGAGTAAAAGCCCAAGGAATTAAGTCGGGATCGTGTTCGGGGATCAACGGATGAGAGTTAAGAACGAAATGAAGAATCGAGCGGGCATACAGCGCATTGTCTAGTAAAATGCACATAACATTTTGCTCAGAACTCTGTTTGGGCTCCACAATATATCGTTGGAAAGCTATTCGAAAGGGCTACAACTATAATCTTTTGCATTTTCGCAAATTCTCACTACCGCACCGCATGGGATGCCGCAGGGTGCGGCACGACAGTGTAAAATGCTGCCTGACAAGAAAAGTGAAGCTTGCTGATAAACTCCATTAGCGCGCCGCATGGTGCAGCGCGACTATACAAATTCTATAGATCTAGAGTCCTATTTCGCGTGGGAGAAGGTGTTTTCATCTGGGCCCAACCCTACTTGTATAAATACATATAAAAACCTAAGAGAACGGACTTTTGACACATCTTAGACCTAGGGAGAGCATAGAGCCACCGTGGAGGCCGGGTTTCATCTTTTCTTCTATCAAACTTAGTAATTTTTATGTTTCTTTGTATGATTTGTTGTTTTGCTACCATATCTATGTGGAGCTAAACTTCACATTCTAGAGTTGTGGTTCTTTCATGACTATTGTTATTCAGATATTGATTTTGATTTCTTAGTTTATCATATTAATTTACTTATTGAATCATGCACTTAATTATTTGATTGCTTGATCACCAATTGAATACTATCTACGAATCTAGAATTGAACTCGAAAGAGGGAATTCTAGATTGCATATAGGATTGAGTAGAGCAAGTTCTTGAACCTAGGCATCGGGGAACGAATTCGCGTTTAGGATAGACATATACCTAATTACCTTGCTTGGTTGATTTACAAGAATTATAAATGCGTTCTTGTTGATTCTAACTCCATAGACATATAGGCGTTAGGTTAGCTTGAATAGGCGAGTAAGAACTNACATATACCTAATTACCTTGCTTGGTTGATTTACAAGAATTATAAATGCGTTCTTGTTGATTCTAACTCCATAGACATATAGGCATTAGGTTAGCTTGAATAGGCGAGTAAAAACTCGACAGATTCTTAGAAGCAATATTTACCCTGTCAACCAATAAACTAGATAAATTAGTTAGTTTATTCAATTGAAGAATACAATAGGAATGTAACTCGACAGATTCTTAGAAGCAATATTTACCCTGTCAACCAATAAACTAGATAAATTAGTTAGTTTATTCAATTGAAGAATACAATAGGAATGTTAGGTTGCCCATGACCCTAGATCATTTTCATTACATTGATAACATAAAAATCTGCTCTTCCGCTGTTCAAAGTTTGTTATTTATATTTCTTTATTTAATTGGCTTAGAGTCAAATACTTCTAGGTTTAATTCTTGTTTATATAATTAGGATAGTCTAATTTAGTTAATAGTTAATCACAAGTCCCCGTGGGATCGACATCCGACTTTTAGTCACTTTATTACTTGACGATCGCGTATACTTGCGTGTGCGTTTGGCCGCAACACAAACACTGTCCTAAAAAATGAAATAGAATATAGTAACAAAGTTTAAGGTGTTTGTCCAAATTTTCTTATCATAATTAGTTTTTCTATCATATGAAGGAAGGACATTTTATTTACCATAATTGGGCTTTTCTTTTCATAGAAGGAAAATATTATTCTTCCATATTTGGCTAGTCCCTTTTCTTATAGGAAAATATTTGGAGTTCTATAAAGTGAATATCCGTCCTTCTTATTCAGTAGCATCCACATGCAGTCATATGAGGTTTGAGAGTCTTGTTTAGAAAAACTTTACAGGACAAGTGTTAGTATATCACTTGTGTTTGCCTCTTCGTGAGGTTTTTCTCTCGATATTTTATACTTTCTTTTATATAGTGGATTGCTCATCTCCATTTATGGGCGTAGATCAATTGACCGAACTACATTAAATATTTGTATCTCTTTTGGTAGACGTCTCCTTTTGTTGTCTTATTTATCGTTGTTTAAGACAGGTTCATCTCGGCGGGTTTAATTCTAGCCGTAACCTATTTGACGGTAATCATAATTTTTGTATGAGAAATTAGACCAGAGTGCTATGCACGTTGAGACAAACTTTGTGGTGGAGATTTGAAGATGCGATCTATTGAAGGCTATGTGAAGAAGGTGGTCCAAGTAAAAAATTATGGATAAAGGGGAGAATTGTTAGGTATCTATCCAAATATTCTTACCATAATTGGTTTTCCTATCTCATGAAACAAAGGACAAAATATTTACCATAACTAGGCTTTTCTTTTCCTAGAAGAAAAATATCATTCTTCCATATTTGGCTAGTTCCTTTTCTTGTAGGAAAAAGTTTGTAGTTCTATAAATTGAAGATCCATCCTTCTCATTCAGTAGCATCCACAATTTAGTCATACGGGGGTTGAGAGTCTTGTTTAGGGAGAGAATTTTACTGGATAAGTAGTAGTGTGTCACTTCTTTTTGCCTCTTCGTGAGGTTGTTCTCTCGATATTTTCTACTCTCTTTTATATAGTGGATTGTTCATCTCCATTTGTGGATGTAGGTCAATTGACCGAACTACGTAAATATTTGCGTCTATTTTGGTAGATTTCTCCTTTTGTTGTCTTATTTATCATCGTTGAAGGTTTACTATACTAGCTTCCGCATGACACCTGATTTTTTCGGTCCTAACACAAAGAATATTAGAAAAGAAAAGATATAATATAATTTCACTTAAACATAGGGATGACAATTACATACAAACGAAAACAAGACATGCGTGAATAAGTTCTCATATAATAAAAACAAACATGACATGACCATTCATATCCATAAGAAGTGAATGGAGATATTTATTCTTACTTCCAACACAAAACTATATTTGTATGGGTCAAGATTAGACTCGTGATAATTAACGTACCTAATTGGCTCCTAAGCTCGGTCAGGCTAATAAAAGGTATAATTAATAGCTAACAAATGTATTCCGAGGACCACGACCTACTCACCGATTTACGGGCGTCCCTTCAGCACAGCCGCGGCCATCCAACGCCAGTGACAGCTGGCGAGATTCACAGCTATAAATTCTAAAAGAAAGAACCCTAAAAAGGGGGCTTCTTCTTCTTCTTCTTCTTCTTCTTCTTATAAAAAGAACCTCTATGAGAGGAGAAAAACCATTGTAAGGCTCTGAACCTCTCCACGGAGAGGCAGACCACTTCAATCATAATCAATAACAAAGCTCTCTATCTTTATCGTCTTAATCTAAAAGCTTTGTGTTTTGTCTATTTATTTCATCCTTTTGGTCATCTATTACGATCTGCTATGTTGGCCCTTGTCTCGATAATTGATTTATGCTTAAGAAGGATTTAATAACTTTTTAGCTAAATAATTTGGCACCATCTGTGGGGATTTCATAGCAGAATCGCGTAGTTTTATCCTTGGACCAGAAAGAAAAGAAAACAACCCAGCTCAAACAAGCCAAAGCGGTACGCCGGGTAAAAGGAAATCAAAAGCCTCGACATGAGCTCGCTTTCCGCTCCCTGCGTTTCCGAGCAAGGGAAAGAAGAAGAAGAAGAAGTAGATCCCCCATCCCTACTGGAAAGCCCAAAAGCATCTTGACCCGGTATCTGTGATGAGGTAACCTATGTGAACCAGTCATGAAG